AAATCCTGTGACGAATAGAGGTCAGATGTTTGGGAACAACGCGACGGTAAAACATCAGACTGCATTCAGGAAGAACCTACGAACAAATAAAAGTTTGGTAACTCTTGCTACCAATACAGAATCTTCCGTCTTCCCTTCTGATATCTAAAAATGAGAGACTGCACGAACTTCCAAGCTAAGATGTTAGCCAAATCTCGACAGCTAACACGTTGCTTGTATGTACGTATATTGGGTTTTTTTAACCAGTGCGCTGTATATCAGTTTTCACAATTATAATTGCGTGACTTGTGATTTTGCGTCATGGAAGATGAATTTCCAAAATTTCCACGACCCCCCTCCCCCGCCTGGGGATTTGGCTAACACTTTTATAAAAGTCACGTTCCATCACAGTCCAAAACTATTTTCTTTGCCTCCGATCTGTTATCAAAAACGTTATAATACACAAAAGTATAATTTTAAATGTGGTTTGGTACGGGTGGGAAATTTTGTCCATCACACAAAGGGAATACCACAGATTCAAGATTTTTGAGAACAGGTGCTGAGGGAAATATTTGATCTAAGAATGTTGAAGTGAAAGGAGGCTGGTGAAAATTACATGATGTGGAACTCCATGATTTGTAGCTACTGTTCACCAAATATTACTAAGATAACGAAATCAGGGAGGAGACTGGGAGACTTGTGGCACGCATAAGGGATAATAAAAATACTTACAAAATTTTGGTTGGAATATCTGAAGGGTTGAAACTACTGGGAAGACCTAGACTTAAATGGGAGAATAATACTGAACTGGATCTTAAGGAGAAACAGTATTGGCTGACTCAGGATAGTGCCCAGTGACGAATTATTGTAAACACAGTTATGAGCGCTCGGGGTCCATGAAACGGGAAATTTTGGTGACCATCAGCTTTTCATTATGGTCTGGCTGCGTTTATTTACGTCTCGCCACTGTGAGCTGGGATTATTCAGTTGTGAATTGTGATCAGACTGCGGGCTAGACCAGTGGTATTCAACCTTTTTTGTTCGCGTACCCCCAGATATAATTTCTCTTCAACTTTGTACCCCCAAAGTTGTTGGTGTATAATTCAAGTTATACATAGTATATAATCTACATCTAAAATAAATTACATTACTGATTATTCAGTGTTTATCATAAAATAATATGTATATTTTTTTAAATTTCACGTATCCCCTAAGATGTCTTCGCGTACCCCCAGATATAATTTCTCTTCAACTTTGTACCCCCAAAGTTGTTGGTGTATAACAATGTTCAGTCAGGTTCCAGAGCACTATGTGGAATAAAATGAAAATAGCCGCCCAGATAAGAATTGCATAAAGGAGAAAGAGAGAAATGGCGCTTCCAAATTTAATGTCCTTACGTCCGGTTCTCGGAATTCGATTTCTGGTAGGGACTTTTGTCTCCACCACGTACAGACTGGCTCTGTAGCCGACCCTAGCGCCTATGCAGTGGTACCACACCCCTTTCAACGGGAATAGCGTTAAGCACAAAGCTGACCACTCGATTCCTTTTGCAAGCTATGCATCTACATGACACGCTGCTAGGTAACTTTTTAACTGAGGTTCTCTGACGAGGGAGAATGTAATCTGGAATTCCCGAGTGGCTGGCTAGCCCGTAGGAGACATTAACCAATCAGAGCGTCGCTTCGCTTCCGGCACACCAATCTCTACATATTCGTCCTATATAGTACTAGCCACATCAGACCCGTGCTAGTGTAGTGTTTGAGTACGTTGGTGTTAAGAGGGGTTGTTGAAATACAGCTTTGTTCACATATTTCTTGTGCGATTGACATTTATTTAGACCATGAAATCAACAATGGGAATGAAGGATAAGGTAAACACATTTTACAATGTATACGAATAATTTTAGTTCGGAAAATTGTGTAGTTGAAGACAATCCCGTTGGAAAGAACCTCACTTTTCAGCTCAGGAGTGAAGTGCGTGTATATGAATTGACTTCAATTATTACATTTTGTGAATATTGGTATGATGAAACTTGTGTAAAACGTTTTGTTCCAATGAGTTTCGTGTTGACTACGTGGCAGCTGGCTGCTTTTGAATGTTATAACTGCTGCACTATTAAATTGCATATGGATCGCTTCCCATTCACAACAGTTTCGAAGGTCGGAAGTGAAAATGGTTGCTACAATATTACGGTAGTACAGGCATGCATAAAATTTTACCCAACGTTTGGAACGTCATTATTTAGGACCTTTGTTAATTGCAAGCGTCTGTAGCATATCAGAAGTCGGAGCATTTTCATGCCCGAATTGCCTCTTGCAAGTCTTTGGCTTCTACAGAAACAGAGGTTTTAACTCCATTCTACACGAAATATGTTACTAGAAAGCACAATAAGCAGCTTAAACTAGAATTTATCAGTGAGAGTAGGATTTCATGGAGCAGGTTTTTTTTTTAGATAGAGAGTACCATTATAGTCGCCTAGGTGGTAAAAACTTTATATTTTATGAAGGTGCAGTACAGTGTTCTTCTCTGTCAGGAGTCAGTTGGATCCTATTTCATCTTTACGATCCATTTTACTATTATCCTACCTTCGCCAAGCTCTCTGAAGTGTCCTCTTTTTGAATTTCCGACTACAATTTTGTATGCACCTCTGATCTCTCCCATGCGTGCTATGTGCCCTACCCATGTCATCCTGCATGATTTAGTTACCGCAATAACGACTCTGCATCAGGAACGCAATTTTACCGATTAATTTAGCAGTCTCATCCTATATAGTCATGTTTCTGGCATGTAATTTGAAGTCTTTTAATTTAATTCCTGCTTCTCACTTATTGGCATCGCTGATTGTTTCAAAAATGCCGCATAATTCTTAAATGTATCAGATTTCCATTTGAAATACCAATATAACAACAGGTACTTATGCATGACATAGGAACGATTGGTAGCCTTTAAAAATCCCCCCCCCCCCCAAA